AGAGAGAGACCAGAGACGGAGAGACCAGAGAGAGACCAGAGAGGGAGAGACCAGAGAGAGACCAGAGAGACCAGAGAGAGATAAGAGAGAGACAAGAGAGAGACCAGAGAGAGACCAGAGAGAGACCAGAGAGAGACCAGAGAGAGACCAGAGAGAGACCAGAGAGAGACCAGAGAGAGACCAGAGTGAGGCCAGAGAGAGACCAGAGAGAGACCAGAGAGAGACCAGAGAAAGACCAAAGAGAGACCAGAGGGAGAGAGACCAGAGAGACCAGAGAGTCTAGAGAGAGACCAGAGTGAGACCAGAGAGAGACCAGAGGGAGAGAGACCAGAGTGAGACCAGAGAGAGACCAGAGTGAGACCAGAGTGAGACCAGAGTGAGACCAGAGTGAGACCAGAGAGAGACCAGAGAGAGACCAGAGAGAACAGAGTGAGACAAGAGAGAGACCAGAGTGAGACCAGAGAGAGACCAAAAAGAGACCAGAGAGAGACCAGAGTGAGGCCAGAGAGAGACCAGAGAGAGACCAGAGAGACCAGAGAGAGACCAGAGAGAGACCAGAGTGAGGCCAGAGAGAGACCAGAGAGAGACCAGAGTGAGGCCAGAGAGAGACCAGAGAGAGACCAGAGAGAGACCAAAAAGAGACCAGAGAGAGACCTGAGTGAGGCCAGAGAGAGACCAGAGAGAGACCAGAGAGACCAGAGAGAGACCAGAGAGAGACCAGAGAGAGACCAGAGAGAGACCAGAGAGAGACCAGAGAGAGACCAGAGAGAGACCAGAGAGAGACCAGAGAGAGACCAGAGAGAGACCAGAGAGAGACCAGAGTGAGCAGACGCCTCAGGTCTGAGCAGATGAACTACATATGAACTTGTTGTGCTGCAGAGTTTGTGTTTCAGCCTCAGGTTAAAGATGTTAAAGGAGATGTATTCCATATAGCCGCTTTAAAGATGTAAATGACTTTATAAAACAACCAAAGCAACAGTTTAACAAAGATTCTTCACTTTTCTGATCCAGTGAGGAGAGACATTCAGTTTCATTATAGCGTTAAAGAGGAAAGCAACACATTCCAGTCATTAGTAACACTGAGTACTATTACTATTACTATAACTATTACTATTACTATTACTTTTACTACTACTACTATTACTACTACTACAGTACAGGGAAGCAGAAGTCTCTCTCCTCAAACAGACAGTCGTTGTGTGTGTATTTATTATCATGTCTATTAATAACAAACCAAAGCGTCCGACACAAAACAACATGTAATTGTGCGACTTTGATGTTGTGACTTCACAGGCCTCAGAAAGTGCTGTATATAAGGTCTCTGGTCTCTCTCTCTCTGGTCTTTCTCTCTGGTCTCTCTCTCTCTGGTCTATCTCCCCTGGTCTTTCTCTCTGGTCTTTCTCTCTGGTCTATCTCCCCTGGTCTCTCTCGCTGGTCTTTCTCTCTCTGGTCTCTCTCTCTGGTCTCTCTCCCCCTGGTCTCTCTGGTCTCTAAATAAGCCTCTCTCTCACAAAGGTCAGGCGTGAACTCATTTCTATAATCCCCAAATGTTTACCACAAAAATGAACCAAATACGTTTTTCTGAATCTGAACTTTCACTTTCACTAAGCCCTGTGCCTCTTCAGGGGAGCAGGAGTGTGTATAATGTCATTGGTCCGGTATGTGCGCTACGGTGTCTCTGTGTGGAAGTAATTACCCTCGGTATTAATGATGGAGACAGGTTTGAATCTGCAGCTCTGCAAAAACTCTATATTATACTTACTTTCTTTTTAACTGTTTCTCAAACTCATACTATTTATGACCTCATGTCTCTGGTCTCTCTGTGGTGTCTCTCTGGTCTCTCTCTAGTCTCTCTCTGGTCTCTCTCTAGTCTCTCTCTGGTCTATCTCTGGTCTCCCTCTGGTCTCTCTCCGTCTGGGAGGTGCTCCGGTCTCGTTCCTGTCTTGTTCTCTGGTCTTTGTGTGTGTTATCAGTGTCTCTGCAGACATGTTGTGCACTTTGCCAGAAAAATAATGAGGATTTAGTGAGAGCTTCACCTCGTCTCCGATGCCTCCAGCTGACAGAGCGGCATGCTAGTTGTTTTAGCTTTATCCACAATTATCAGGAAGTCTGCGGAGAACTCATCGTCTCACAAAATGCAGACTCTTTCATTTTCATTCATTTCTGCGTCAAATTCATGTGCTCACGTTACAAATATTAAATACAGTGAATTGCGAAAGTATTCGGCCCCCTTGAACCTTTCAACATTTCGCCACATTTCAGGCTTCAAAAAATGATATAAAATCAAAATGTTTTGTCATGAATCAACAACAAGTGGGATACAATCGTGAAGTGGAACGAAATTTATTGGATCATTTAAACTTTTTTAACAAATAAAAAACTGAAAAGTGGGGCGTGTAATATTATTCGGCCCCTTACTTTCAGTGCAGCAAACTCAGTCCAGAAGTTCAGTGAGGATCTTTGAATGATCCAATGTTGTCCTAAATGACTGATGATGATAAATAGAATGCACCTGTGTGTAATCAAGTCTCCGTATAAATGCACCTGCTCTTTGATAGTCTCAGGGTTCTGTTTAAAGCGCAGAGAGAACCATGAAGACAAAGGACCAGGCAGGTCCGAGATACTGTTGTGGAGAAGTTTAAAGCCGGATTTGGATACAAAAAGATTTCCCAAGCTTTAAACATCTCAAGGAGAACTGTGCAAGCAATTATATTGAAATGGAAGCAGCATCAGACCACTGCAAATCTACCAAGACCCGGCCGTTCCTCCAAACTTTCATCTCAAACGAGGAGAAGACTGATCAGAGATGCAGCCAAGAGGCCCATGATCACTCTGGATGAACTGCAGATAACTACAGCTGAGGTGGGAGAGTCTGTCCATAGGACAACAATCAGTCGTGCACTGCACAAATCTGGCCTTTATGGAAGAGTGGTAAGAAGAAAGCCATTTCTCAAAGATATCCATAAAAAGTCTCGTTTAAAGTTTGCCACAAGCCACCTGGGAGACACACCAAACATGTGGAAGAAGGTGCTCTGGTCAGATGAAACCAAAATCGAACTTTTTGGCCACAATGCAAAACGATATGTTTGGCGTAAAAGCAACACAGCTCATCACCCTGAACACACCATCCCCACTGTCAAACATGGTGGTGGCAGCATCATGCTTTGGGACTGCTTTTCTTCAGCAGGGACAGGGAAGATGGCTAAAATTGATGGGAAGATGGATGGAGCCAAATACAGGACCATTCTGGAAGAAAACCTGTTGGAGTCTGCAAAAGACCTGAGACTGGGACGGAGATTTATCTTCCAACAGGACAATGATCCAAAACATAAAGCCAAATCTACAATGGAATGGTTCACAAATAGACGTATCCAGGTGTTAGAATGGCCAAGTCAAAGTCCAGACCTGAATCCAATCGAGAATCTGTGGAAAGAGCTGAAGACTGCTGTTCACAAACGCTCTCCATCCAACCTCACTGAGCTCAAGCTGTTTTGCAAGGAAGAATGGGCAAGAATTCCAGTCTCTCCATGTGCAAAACTGATAGAGACATACCCCAAGCGACTTGCAGCTGTAATTGCAGCAAAAGGTGGCGCTACAAAGTATTAGCGAAAGGGGGCCGAATAGTGTATACTCCTACACTATTCTTGACAAAAAAAAATATTTTTTATATCTTTATGTTTGAAGCCTGAAATGTGGCGAAATGTTGAAAGGTTCAAGGGGCCGAATACTTTTGCAAGGCACTGTATGTTTGAACCATAGACTGTATAAAGATGGACAATGCTAAACTCTCTCTGGTCTCTCTCTCACTGGGGTCTTTCTGTCTCTCTATGGTCTCTCTCTCTCTTTGGTTTCTCTCTCTGGTCTCTCTCTGTTCTTTCTCTCTTGTCTCTCTCTCTGGTCTTTCTCCTGCCCCTGGTCTCTCTCTCTCTCTCTCTGCTCTCTCTTCTCCTCTTCCTAGTCTTTCTCTCTTGTCTCTCTCTCTGGCCTCTCTCCCTTACCTCTCTCTCTTCTCTCTCCTTGTCCCTTCCCTCATATCTATCCTATCAAACATTAGTCTCTCTCTCTCTACTCTCTCCTCGTCCCCACTCCGTCCTCATATCTATCTTTTCATACATAAGTCTCTCTCTCTCTTCTCTCTCCTTGTCCCTTCCCCCCTATCTTAGCAGATATTAGCGATTCTAAACGGGAGCATGAGAGAGTCCGCGGTGGAGAGTAGATCACGGACAGAGGAGCCTTTGACAAAGACTAATGATGAGACGGAGGTTTTCGGAGCCGCAGAAAATGAAGACGAACGATGAGCACAAAGAGAAGCAAGTGATCTTATAATTAAGGAGAAAGTGGATGAAAAATGAAGAGAAACAAAGACGGATGAAGGCTGCATGGGGCCCCCTGCTGGAGACGTTTGGGAAAAGCACTGTTCTCTTCCTGCTTTATCATTCTGAATTCAGCTGGTCTGTTCATTACTATTCACCCGTTGTCTACAGCCCTCTCTCATTATGGGCCTCACTGAGGTTTCTCCCTTTTTCTCATTGGGTGTCTCTCTCTTACCCTGTTTGTCTTTTTCTTTCTCTCTCTGTCCTTCTCTCTCTCTCCCTGGTCTCTTTAAGTCTCTCTCTCTGTCTTTCTCTCTGGTCTCTCTCTGTCTGTATTCCTATCTCACCTTGGTCTCTCTCTCCATGGTGTCTCTCTCTCTCTCTCTCTGTGTCTCTCTCTCTCTGGTCTGTCTCTCTCTCTCCTTGGTCTCTCTCTGTGTGTCTCTCTCTCTGGTCTCCCTCTCCCTGGTCTCTCTATGTCCCTCTCTGTCTTTTTCTCTCACTCGTCTCTCTATGTCTAACTGTGTGTGTCTCTCTCCTGGTCTGTCTATGTCTCGCTCTGTTTGTCTGTAATTACAAACTAGGCCCTTGTTTACAGTCTGTCTCGCTGCTGTTCCGCGTCCGTCCAGGAAGTCCAGGGAGTCAAGGAAGTCCAGGAAGTCCAGGGAGTCAAGGAAGTCCAGGAAGTCACATTATAAACTGTGACTTCTTTCTTCTGCAGGAGCGCGGGTGGCGGTCTGGGACAGTGGGAGATGGATGGCGGGGGCAGGCAGGGTGACGGCGGGACGTGAGGACACATATTAATCCCGCTGACATATGCACAGTGAGCGGAGGAGACAGGACGGTACGGTGATGGATGGGGGGGTCGTCGCCGGGGTTACGGACCGGAAAGGACTCGGGATGAATGAAGAGGCAGAAGAGGATGGGAGAGATGCGGCCGGACAGGTCGTCAAAACTGCTCACACCACAGAGAGTCTTGGATCTACAGCCTAAGTCCTGGATCTGCAGCCTCAGTCCTGGGTCTACAGCCTCAGTCCTGGGTCTACAGCCTCAGTTCTGGGTCTGCAGCCTCAGTCCTGGATCTACAGCCTCAGTCCTGGGTCTACAGCCTCAGTTTTGGATCATCTCCCTCAGGATCAAACACAATCCAGTCCATGTTTATGATCTTTTGAAAGCAGAGAAACCACTCTGTTTAGGCAAGGCAAGGCAAGGCAAGTTTATTTATATAGCACAATTCATACACAAGGCAATTGAACAAAACAAGAAAGCAAGAAAGCATTAAAATCATAAATAATCACAGAACATTAAAAAGAAAGCTAAAAGTATAAAATCCTTCAGTTGTATGCACAGCTAAACAGAACTGTCTTTAACCTGTTTTAAACATTGTCAGAGAGGGGGCCTGTCTCACATCTTCAGGAAGATTGTTCCAGATTTTAGCAGCATGAATCTGAAAAGCTGCCTCCCCATGTTTAGTTCTGACTCTGGGCACTAACAGGAGTCCAGTCCCTGTGCTCCTCAGAGTCCGGGCTGGTTCGTATAATTCGTTTAGAATTGCACCTTATTGTAATTATTTTATGCTGGGCTTCTTTATTAAACATATAAATCTAAATGTTTGCAGCTTTAAAGCAGAATGGAGCTGCTCGCTGTGATGTGTGGAGCTCTCAGGGCCGACAGAACAGATGGAATATTTATTTGAAGTTAGATGTGAGTCACGCTAGTCCAGTTCAAATGAGGAGAGAGACACAGGCCAAGCTAACGGTACTCTGCAGCAGACACAATCACATGAACCAGAGAGAGAGACCAGAGAGAGACCAGAGAGAGAGCTGAGAGAGACCAGAAAGAGAGAGAGCAGAGAGAGAGAGAGAGGATAGAGAGAGAGCGAGAGAGCAGGGAGAGCAGAGAGAGAGAGAGGATAGAGAGAGAGCGAGAGAGCAGGGAGAGCAGAGAGAGAGAGAGGATAGCGAGAGAGAGAGAGAGCAGGGAGAGCAGAGAGAAACCAGAGAGAGACCAAAGAGAGAGACCAGAGAGAGACCAGAGAGAGACCAGAGAGAGACCAGAGAGAGACCAGAGAGACCAGAGAGACCAGAGAGAGACCAGAGAGAGACCAGAGAGAGACCAGAGAGAGACCAGAGAGAGACCAGAGAGACCAGAGAGAGACCAGAGAGACCAGAGAGAGGCCACCAATTGAATGTGAAAATAAATCCTTTCATATTGCCCAATAAATCCTCTATTCTGCAGGGTATTTAAAGTTATGAGCACAGACATATTAAAAAGGAACATTTGCTTTATCTTAAGTTTGAATGTTGTAGACGCCAGATTTACCAAAACATTCACCGATGTGTTTGTTCTGCTCTTTGCACAGAGTGGAGCGTCCTCATATTTAACATGGCTGCGTTTTGATTGGTCAAAAGCGTCTTCCCTGGGACCGGCCTCTTAATGAGTTCATTAGCAGCAGATGCTACGCTTTCCCGTTAGCTTCTGCAGCAGGTGCGCTAACTCAGCACACACACATACTGTACACACATACACACAGACACACACACATACATACACACACACACTATAAACATAATATATGCAAACTCGCCGCACACTTCCAATGTTAGCTTTTGCAGCAGGTGCGCTAACTCAACACACACACACAGACACACAGGCACACACACTCACTCACACACACACACACACACACACACAGACACACACACACACAGGCTCCTTCCAGCAGGTATATCGAAATTAGGTCGGTATAGCGGCATTTATGTCGGAGGAAAATGTTAGCTTTTCAATTAGCGCGGCAGGTGGCTACGTTAGCGCGCAGCGGTGGGAACAGTTAGCGCTGGGGCCGGAGCTGGTTAGCGAATGCAAATGTCTGTGATTGAGGACGGACGAGTCAATTTACGGAGGAAGGCGATATTCAGAGCAGCTGTGAAGGAGGAGGTTTTAAAACGTTTTATGTGTTTGCTAGTTCTCAGAGAAAGGGTATGTAAAAAAGCTAATTTATGTTAGTGTCAGGGACTCTGAGGAGCACAGGGACTGGCCTCCTCCTGGGACTCTGAGGAGTACAGGGACTGGCCTCCTCCTGGGACTCTGAGGAGTACAGGGACTGGCCTCCTGCTGGGACTCTGAGGAGCACAGGGACTGGCCTCCTGCTGGGACTCTGAGGAGCACAGGGACTGGCCTCCTGCTGGGACTCTGAGGAGCACAGGGACTGGCTTCCTGCTGGGACTCTGAGGAGCACAGGGACTGGCCTCCTGCTGGGACTCTGAGGAGCACAGGGACTGGCCTCCTCCTGGGACTCTGAGGAGTACAGGGACTGGCCTCCTGCTGGGACTCTGAGGAGCACAGGGACTGGCCTCCTGCTGGGACTCTGAGGAGCACAGGGACTGGCCTCCTCCTGGGACTCTGAGGAGTACAGGGACTGGCCTCCTGCTGGGACTCTGAGGAGCACAGGGACTGGCCTCCTGCTGGGACTCTGAGAAGCACAGGGACTGGCTTCCTGCTGGGACTCAGAGGAGCACAGGGACAGGATCTGCAGGTCTGTTTCTCAGAGTGTGTCTGTGTATTATAGAATATTCATGTTGTGATAAGAGCCGTTGCCATGGCGCCCTCATGTCAATCACTGCTGCCCTGCCAGCTCCGTCCTTGACCTCCGTCTCGTCCCGTTCAGCCCAATCATGCAAATTACTTTATATTACGGCTCATTGTCACGGACCGGCGGATCCAGACACACACACACACACACACAGGCAGACACACACACACACAAACAGAGGTAGACACACACACACACACACACAGACAAAACACACAAGAGACACACACAAACAGAGACTAGAAACAGACACACACAGAGAAACACACACACACATATATACACGGACAGAAACACACACACACACACTCACATACATACAGAGAGGCAGACACACACACACACACACACACACACACACACACACAAAGCTAGATATTTTATACTTGCTTCTTTATTCTGCTATTGGTGACTAGTGATGCAACACTGACATTTCCTGCTGTCTCCTCATCTTCCTCTTCCTCACTGAAGCCTCAGTTACGCACAATCCAACGCAGTGTTGTTAGTAATAATCAATACTTTTCCTATATATTTTTTTTCATTTTCAAACTTGTTCCTTAAGCTTCTCACAGCTGCTGATGAGCTCCTGTGACAGCTGCAAGGCCTGCTGGGAGTTGGAGTCCTCCCATAGAAGGGTTTTCTCTTGAATATTGAAGCCGGAGACGGACGGGATTGCATTTTCTTTGCTGAACTTGGCAGCACTTCTGTGTATAAATCTAATTTAAATCTTATAGAGAAGGATGGGATTATGGACTGAAGGCCTCTGTCAGCAAGATCTGCATAGACCAGAGATAACTTTATCTGAAGAAAACCTCTGGCCTCTCTCTGGCCTCTCTCTGGCCTCTCTCTGGTCTCTCTCTGGCCTCTCTCTGGTCTCTCTCTAGCCACTCTCTAGTCACTCTCTGTCTCTCTCTAGTCTCTCTCTGGTCTCTCTCTGGTCTCTCTCTGGTCTCCTTATAACATACAGCTGCTACTTCACAGACTTGACTCATTGTGGGTTATTTTTTAGAACACATCACCCCTGTCATAAACCTGTACTGTAGCCACAAAAATAATAATAATGATTAAATCTATAAAAATCGGTCTATTTCCCACTGGGGATAATACCAGCACCGGACCATAGACCATAAATTCTCATGGTATAAAAGCTCTGTAGCTGATCAAACCCACACTTACGGGAACACACAGATATGAACCACAGACTTTTACTGTTGAAATCACAATAATAACAAAAAGCCAAATAAAAAATCCTTTCAACTTAATGTACATTTTATTGTCAGTAGCGACACAGTAGGTCAGGGCATGTTAAAGCCGGGGTACCACCAGAGACTCCGCAGAAAGGAGCCAAACTTCACCATGAGTACTTCCCTCTGGTCTGTCTCTGGTCTCTCTCTAGTCTCTCTGCTCTCTCTCTCTGCTCTCTCTCTGGTCTCTCTCTCTAGGGCTTGCCAACTTGAGCTAGGCGCACTTTCATACTTCATACTGGGCGCACAGACTCACCTGGCCCCTCCCTCACCTGGCCCCTCCCTCACAGACTCACCCAGCCCCTCTCTCACAGACTCACCCAGCCCCTCCCTCACAGACTCACCCAGCCCCTCTCACAGACTCACCCAGCCCCTCCCTCACAGACTCACCCAGCCCCTCTCACAGACTCACCCAGCCCCTCCCTCACAGACTCACCCAGCCCCTCCCTCACAGACTCACCCAGCACGCCGAGCCTGTAGTTCATGGTGACCACGATGACGTTGCCGTAGGCGGCGAGCACGCTGGCGTCGAACATGTTCCCGGTGCCCTCCATGTACGAGCCGCCGTGAAGGAACAGCATCACGGGCTTCTTCCTGCGGTCACGGATATCTGAGGGGGGAGAGAGAGGGTGAGAGAGAGTGAGAGAGGGTGAGAGAGGGTGAGAGACCAGACGAGCGAGAGACCAAAGAGAAAGAGAGAGGGTGAGAGAGGGCGAGAGAAAGAGAGAGGGTGAGAGAGGGCGAGAGAGAGTAAGAGTGGGTGAGAGACCAGAGGAGAGAGAGGGTGAGAGACCAAAGAGAGAGAGTGAGAGACCAAAGGAGAGAGACCAGAGGAGAGAGGGTGAGAGAGGGTGAGAGACCAAAGGAGAGAAAGAGACCAGAAGAGAGAAAGAGAGATATCACTGGCTTTTTCCTCCGGTCGTAAGTATATGCGGAGAGAGAGAGAGAGAAGAGAGAGCAGAAAGAAAGAGGGTGAGAGACCTGAGGAGAGAGACGAAGAGAGGTAGAGAGGGTGAGAGACCTGAGGAGAGAGACAAAGAGAGGTAGAGAGGGTGAGAGACATCAGAGAGAGAGAGAGAGAGAACTCGGCTTGTGGGCAAATGCTTAAAACTATGTCACTTCTGGGGCATACACTGACTAAAACAAGTGCTTCAATAAACTTTTATCCTGTTCGTGACGCCAATTCTTGTGGAATTTCTGCAAAGGCCGAGATCGAGAACACGGAAAACAACCAACAGCTGTAATACAATCAAAGTGTGGGTTTATTCATTAGTAAATGTGACATAGACCATGAATAACAGGACCATGACACCGACACCAGCTGCAGCTCTGGAACAGTCTGTCCTGAATGAGGAAACTACTAGACATTAAATAGACCAGAGTAAACTAAGACATATCTAGATATTACACAAATGAAGTCAGTGTTGATGTGAGTCGCTCAAAGCTTCACACTTCCTTGCAGACATGTAGAAACCCGTCTCCCATCCATCGGCTGCCAACAGATCAGCGGTATTTGAACACAGAGTTGATTAATAACTTACTCTTATAACTGTTCAATGTTTATTCAGATTGAACACAAAAAAAACATAAATACGCTCTCTTTGGGTTTTGATTGTGATCTTGTGATGGACCAATGGCTCTGTGTGAAACTGAAGCCGGTCCCTGTGGTCCCTGTGGTCCCTGTGGTCTCTGTGGTCTCTGTGGTCCCTGTAGTCTCTGGGGTCCCTTTAGTCTCTGGGGTCTCTGTAGTTTTTGTGGTCCCTGTAGTCTCTGTGGTCCCTGTAGTCTCTGTGGTCTCTGTGGTCCCTGTAGTCTCTGTGGTCCCTGTAGTCTCTGTGGTCCCTGTAGTCTCTGGGGTCCCTGTAGTCTCTGGGGTCCCTGTAGTCTCTGTGGTCTCTGTGGTCCCTGTAGTCTCTGTGGTCGCTGTAGTCTCTGTGGTCCCTGTAGTCTCTGGGGTCCCTGTAGTCTCTGGGGTCCCTGTAGTCTCTGGGGTCCCTGTAGTCTCTGGGGTCCCTGTAGTCTCTGTAGCCCCTGTGGTCCCAGATCTTTCTTACTTTTGCATCTAATGACTTCCATGAGGTCTTGAGCCCCCCCTCAGGTTCTCCCCGTCTCCTGGGCCTCATTACGGCTAAACGTCCCCGTGTTCGGGATCCAGAGACGGGAGAGTCCTCTGCTGCTCTGCCCTCTTTCTGCTGCTGCGTTATTCAAAAGGCGGTCCCTGGACGCCTCTTCACCCTCGCGGAGGCAAACATTATTCTGGAAAACGGCGATGAACAAACCAGCTCAGGAGGGACCGTCAGGACCCAGGTCTTGGGTCAAATATGTAAATATGTAAAAGCTTTGTAGAAATGTCCCGACACATTTCAGGCTATACACATTTTACTGATTACATTAAACCTTACATGAAGGTCTTTACATGGTGTTGGTCACGTGACTTGTAATCACATGTGTACATTCACAGGTGTGTCTGATGAAACGTCACATCTTGTGGAGAAAATAAAATAAATCCTTGGATCTTAATTACCCTATAATCCTGCGGGTATCGGCAACGATGCATGCGCACATGTTTTACAAATGATCAATTTACTCGCGAACGGTAAAACGTAGCAACTTACTTTTTTTCCTCTGTGAAGTACATATTCAGGGCTTTCCAAAACTAGTTTTGATTTATCTCTGTGACGCACAGAGGATAAACTACGTTTGTCTGAAAGTCCGTGTCCAATCGGATCTTCGAGCGGTGACCCGTGAGGTACAAACAGCTGTGAGATATAAACACACGGGGACTGCCAAAGATCGTCAGAGAGTGAGATGTCTCACTCCTCTGTCTGTACTTGTTCTCCCACAGTTGAAACTACAGCTGCAATTGCAATTACCGGCTGAAGAGTGCGCATTATTGATAAAGACGATAATAAATACAGCAAAATGACATTATGTGTTTATGATGTATATAAATATATGTATTGGATGTTTTTTTCTTTCTTAGTTTCTTATGTTTTACCTGTTTTACAGCTGTGATACAGAAGCAACCCCAGCATCATAGACAAACTGCTTCAGGAAGGGCATCAGGAGTACAGAGTTTTTTGTGTTTATAGTGGAATTTTGTAAAAAGTATAATAGTCACAGATTACATTTTTTTCCCCATTATCTCCATGACCCCAAATAACATTTCTATGCAGTGTAAAAAGTTGTTCATAGCATTTCATTGTGTTTTTTCAATACATTTTTGTATTTTCCGAATTTTTTCATGATTTCATAATTTTTATATAATTCATATGACAGCTTTACAATATGAATATTCTAAAACCCCAGGTTGTACTGAAAACAACAAAGTATACTGCTTGACTCTGCATCAAAAGATGACTGTTTTATGAACAATTATACACAAAGAAAACCAGGCGAGGAAGGTTCCCCAAAATGACCCATGTGCCTGCTGTGCACAGTCATCTCCAGTTTTTAATCTTCTATATTGGACTCTTTGCTGCTCAGATTTGGGACCTCGCTCTTGTTCTACACGATTAAATAAGACTGTATCTCACATCCTCATCTTCATCCTCACATCCTCCTATCATCATCCTCATATCCTCATCTTCATCCTCACATCCTCATATCCTCATCTTCACCCTCACATCCTCATCCTCATATCCTCATCTTCATCCTCACATCCTCCTATCATCATCCTCATATCCTCATCTTCATCCTCACATCCTCCTATCATCATCCTCCTATCCTCATCTTCATCCTCACATCCTCATCTTCATCCTCACATCCTCATCCTTACATCTTCATCCTCACATCTTCATCCTAACATCTTCATCCTCACATCCTCATCTTCATCCTCACATCCTCATCCTCACCCTTACATCCTCATCCTCACATCTTCATCCTTACATCTTCATCCTCACATCTTCATCCTTACATCTTCATCCTCACATCTTCATCCTCACATCTTCATCCTCACATCTTCATCCTTACATCTTCATCCTCACATCTTCATCCTCACATCCTCAAATTCTCATATCTTCATCCTCACATCTTGCAGACTTTAACCTTTAACGTGATTCTATCTGAGCCAAATGTGATATGTCTATATATATACACATGTAGATATATCTAATATATATTAGATATATATATATATATATTAGATATATATATATATATTATGTAATATTTCTCCATCAGAGATCAATAAAGTTTATCTTATCTTATATCCAACAGCTCTATTCTACCCTACCTTACTCTACTCTACTCTACCCTATCCTACCCTACTCTACTGAATACAGTCTGTGGTAAGGAGCAAACCTGTTGGGACCTTGTTGAAGCTGTCATTAAAATCTGAGACCGTGTTCCTTGTGTTTCATTAATATTTGGTAAAACAGATTCATAATTACTGATCAAACACAAATAACATCTGCTCTTTAAACATTACTGCATCATCTGTCAGTCTGTCGTACATTAGCTCCAGTACACACTGCACTGGTGATCACGGTCACGCTCGACTGAGGCTGTGTCCCCGGGGCCCGGCATCCAGGGGCCCTCGCCACCGCACCAGCGAGAGGACCATATGGTGCTGCAGGCGGCTGGCACCAGGAGCAGAGACCAGAGAAGGCCAGAGAGGGAGAAGGAGAGCTCATCATGTTAGCCACATCTGTATGTGAGCACTGTACAGCTGTATTCAGATGCTAATGCTAACACAGACTGTATACAGATGGACAATGCTAACACAAACTGTATACAGATGGACAATGCTAACACAAACTGTATACAGATGGACAATGCTAACACAAACTGTATACAGATGGACAATGCTAACACAAACTGTATACAGATGGACAATGCTAACACAAACTGTATTGCCGGGTTGCAACCACGTGACCAAAAGGGGGCGTGGCAAGGGGCCGTAGGACAGGAAGTATTTTTTTCCTATTAAATAGAATGGGCGATGCGGGAAAACGTACACACGGGAACGTTTTGTGGCTTGGTATATATTTTAAGTGTAAACTATTTTAAATGCAGCGTACGCCTTGTAGAGTTTGAATGAGACATTTTTTTCAACAATGAGGAGGATTAAGCAGCTGTTATAGTGACAACAGTAGAGCTCATCACTCTGGGATCAACAAAACCACATCTGAGATGATAGTTCTGATCAATAATACAATAGATAGGGCACAAATGTTACTTTTAATAACATTTGAGGCGAGAAATATGACCCTTTATTGTCATTTCGGTGATTGGTTGAGCTGTAAACAACAAAAAGTTTGGACTTAATCTCCGGGGGGAGCTCCGTAGCGTTAAGCTAACAGCGGGGGCTGCAATAAACGCAGCCGTCCTGGGGGCACAGAGCTCGGATAAAACTTCAGACATTACCCTGGTCCTCACAGTCGTGGGAATAACGATGAACAATGACTCTCATAACACAATGACTAGATTATATGTGAGAAGACTTAAGATTGTACAGCCTGCCTTTAGCTTTTTTTTTGTTTTTTTTTTACTTTGTTACATATGTACATGTTGGTTTGGCATTAAAAACGTATTTAACAGATCTTTCTCTGTTTCTTTCTCTGTTGCCTCGGTTGCTACAACCGTATACCACGCAAAAATACTTTATTGTATCTATGAAAGTCAGCGAAGTAAAGACTGTCAGCTGTGTCTGCGGCCGCGGATGCTGCGCGGGCTAATGCTAATGCTAACGTATCTATTCCTTTCCCTGTAAGGAAATAACCTAAAAATTGACACCCATTAGAGAAATACATTTTAGCAAAAAAGAGACTCCATAAGTTCCCCACTTGATATGAGCAGTTGCCACAACTGTACACGCTACAGAAAAAGAGCATTTTGACTCGGAATGAGTGCATTTTTATATTGTTCTTAATGGGGAGATTTACTTCCTGTCCCTCGGAGCACTTTCGCGCTGCTGCGTGGCATCAGGTGCAACCCAGCAATACAGATGAATGAGGAGGACAGAGGTCATCCCGCTCCCTACGGACCAACGGATTCGATGACGAACAAAATGTGTTCGTCATCATTGCATTCCCTGTGTTTGAACTGTCTGATTCTCTGATCTGTTGTTGGCGAATCGACAACTTAGTAAAGTCCTCTGAGGCGACTGCTGCTGTGATCTAGAGCCGTGTGTTAAACCCTGTCTCTTCATATCGTCCATTAGTGTCAGACGTCAGACTCTACACTCAGACAGCTGCCCCTCAGTCTCCATGGCAACCTCTCATCCACACCCCCCCCCGCCCTGCTTATCCGTCACTGAACTGTTACCGTGGCAACCTGTGGCATCCATGCATCATTGGCCTTGTATACCTGCAACTCTTCTGACAGTGGTTCTGAAGAGAGAGACCACCCTACAGAGACCAACCTATAGAGACCACCCAACAGAGACCACCTACAGAGACCACCCTATAGAGACCACCCTATAGAAACCACCCTAAAGAGACCACCTACAGAGACCACCCTATAGAGACCACCTACAGAGACCACCCAATAGAGACCACCCTACAGTGACCACACTACAGAGACCACCCTCCAGGGACCACCCTACAGGGACCACCCTATAGAGACCACCCTACAGGGACGACCCTACAGAGACCACCCTACAGGGACCAACCTAAAGAGACCACCATAAAGAGACCAGCTTACAGAGACCCCCCTACGGCGACCACCCTACAGAGACCACCTATAGAGACCACCCTACAGAGACCACCCTGTAGGGACCACACTACAGCGACCAGCTTACAGAGACCACCTATAGAGACCACCCTACAGAGACCACCCTGTAGGGACCACCCTACAGAGACCAGCTTACAGAGACCACCTATAGAGACCACCCTACAGAGACCACCCTGTAGGGACCACCCTACAGAGACCAGCTTACAGAGACCACCCTACAGAGACTACCTATAGAGACCACCTTACAGAGACCCCTATAGAGACCACCCTACAGAGAGACCCCCATAAAGACCCCTACAGAAGGCACAGACAGTTTTTCGAGGACGTACAATCACGACATGAGCAAGAAATATGTAACGATATCATTCACGACACAAAAATCCTCAGAACTACAAAGTGATCTTTAATTGACTTACTGTGGATATTCAACTGTTCAACTGAAACGTGA